CCGACGTTCGACTATGCAGAAAGTAATTTGAGCAATATCACGGGTTGGAAATTCCAACATTGCTTTGGTCACACTGTCAGAGCCGACGTTCGACTATGCAGAAAGTAATTTGAGCAATATCACGGGTTGGAAATTCCAACATTGCTTTGGTCACACTGTCAGAGCCGACGTTCGACTATGCAGAAAGTAATTTGAGCAATATCACGGGTTGCAAATTCAAACATGTATTTTTGTTTCATCCCAATTTCGGATCCAAAATCCCAACTAGGCTGAAAGTGATTTGTAGCAATATTATGCTAAAACAATTAAAACATATTTGTTTGTTTATTGATTGTTTCAGATCCCAAGGCCCACTATGCAGAGAGTGATCCTGGTAGTGTTGTTGCTGTCCTGCATGGCCGTTCTCAGCGTGCGTGCTGACAACAGCGAGATGTTGGCCCCGCCCCCACGACCCGAGGAGTTCACTTCCGCCCAACAGTTGAGACAGTACCTGGCAGCCCTCAACGAGTACTACTCCATCATGGGCCGACCCAGGTGAGGTGTTCATAGTTTGGGCAACATCCAGGGTTTGTTCTGTCTTCACACACTCACCCAGTCTCTTGTCAACGTCTGCTGGTTTGTTCTGTCTTCTTTCACACTTACCCAGGAGTCTTGTCAACGTCTGCTGGTCTGTTCTGTCTTCTCACACTTACCCAGGAGTCTTGTCAACGTCTGCTGGTCTGTTCTGTCTTCTCACACTTACCCAGGAGTCTTATCAACGTCTGCTGGTCTGTTCTGTCTTCTCACACTTACCCAGGAGCTTTGGCAACATTTTGGGTTTTATTTTCCTCAACTGTCTCAATTTGTCACAAAAGTACTCTGGGGAAGTAATTTATGTCAACGTCTTGTGGGTTTTTTTAAATCTCATTTCTCACAGACTTACCCAAAAGTAGTATTTGTTTCAACGTCTTGTACTTTCCCTCTCAAGTACCTCATCTCTCCTAGACTTTCCCTGCAGCAGTATTTATGACGTCAACGTCTATCTAATCCACGAGTATCTCCGTCTTTCTGCAGGGGCGTTAGTTCCTCTCAGCCCAGGTCGCCCTCACAGGCAGGGTCACAAGCCCGCCACCTAACGGTCGTATTGGGCGTAAAAAGCACCCACATGAAGACAAAAACTCTTTCTAGTCATACCATGTGAAGACAGAAGCCCTCTCTAGTAACACCTAGAATATTCCTCACTCACAAGACTTCTCTAGTAACACCTAGAATATTCCTCACTCACAAGACTTCTCTAGTAACACCTAGAATATTCCTCACTCACAAGATGTATTGTATCACCCTAACACCCTTACTAAAACGAACATTCACAACCTTGGAAATTTGCAGTAAACGTGTTTCAGGTGTCTTGTATACGTCTGATTACATTTCTGAGGTCGTAATTTAATTTGCCACGAGATGACCCAAAATAGAACAGCCATTTTAATATCAGAAGAGTGCATGAAGGATTATCTTCTTGAAAAAAGACCGAACAAATGATGTGCAAACAAAAAAAGACATAAAGAATGGGGTTTCCACCTTTTTTGTGATATAATCAAACTACTCATTGCATCTTTGCGTGATCCTAGAAACTGCAAACCACCCCCAACGTCGTCCGTCCCTCTATGTCATAACCCTCCCCCCCCCTCACCCGGAATCACAATCTTTGACATTG